TTCTTTCTAATTGAAACTTACTTGGCACACTGCACAGGGCACAGATCTTAGGTGCAGGACTTCACGGCTCCTTGTCAGTAGAAACACATCTGCTTCCAACACTCCGGTTCAATACACAGGACGTCTCGGGGCCCCTGGCAGCCTCCTGCAGGAGGAGAGAGAGAGATTAATGAGGTTACAGGAATGACCTCAGTTGCTCCATGTAGATTCCAGGCAGGCTGGTTTGCACACAGTTGGCTCAAAACGAGTGTGGCTGCGCCCTCGGAAACTAGTTGAGTGAGTGGGGAGAATCCAAGCCCTCTGGGGTTTTTTTCGCTGCGGCCGCCTGGGACCAGGGTAAAGGGGCTGGGAAACGCTGCTCAGAGGCATCTGGGCTTTTATGGAGGGAAAAACTACTGCTACCCGGAGACTTGCGTCCGTCCTGGTTCGCGGAGCCCTGCTTCTGTTTAAGGTGCTTTTCTGCACTTGCCTGTGTTCCAGAAATTTGTCTTAAAAATAAAACCCCCAGGAGATCCGTTTTCCTCCACTTGGAAGCCTCCAACGTTGAGTGCAGGACATGCAACTAAAAATGAGGCTGAGAGTATATACGGTTCAGAGAGAAAATAACCAGCTCTGAATCGGTGACTTGGCAGCGGAGGGGCAGGGCGCCCGCTCCCCTTCCTTGGCCCGGTGTGCAGACACTGTGCGAGCTCCATCCCCTCCGAGTCTCAGGCTGAGACCCCTAGGGTCTCAGATAACCACCGTCAAAGGTGTCAGACCAGAACCTTCCACCCAGACACAGGTGCTGGAATCAGTGGGAGGCACAGAGACGCAGGGAGGTGGGCTCCCTGGGGTGGGTGTGCCAGGACCCAGGGGGTTGACTCGGACCCCGAAAGTGACCTTGGGCCCTGACGTCCCCAGGGCTCAGATCCACAGGGCAATTGGGCCTGTTTGCTGCTCTTTGCCAATGTGCCTATGCAGGTCCCACAGGGGCGAGGTAACCCGGGCATTTGGCTGGGCAGCATTCCAGTGACTGGCCCCATGAAGGGTGGAAGTGATGCAGAGGATGAGGGAGGCTCTGGGACTCAAGGGCCAAAAGGCCAGGGCCCTCCCCCTCGGGCCCTGTGAGGAGCCGCAGGTCTGCTGACACAGGTGGGAGTGTGGACCCTGTCCCTCCAGCCCACACTCCACACGACCCATCTTGAGACCTGCGCGGTGCAGATGGCCAGAGCCCTGCCACATTCCCCTTGCCCTTAATGACCACCTCTCT